ATCATTCATGCTCTCCCCCCCCCCCCACTGGCAGGCGAATCAGCTTTTTCTTCCAACTTCGGCGGCCGGCGGGTTCCAGGCTCCCCTATAAACCCTGAACACTCAGCCATGACAGGACACCCTCTGGCCGACGATCCTGTCGGACGAGGGTAGTTCTACGATGGGAAAGCAGGGTCCAGAGCTTCAGGGTTTAGGGTTTAGGGTTTTAGGGTTTCAGGGTTTAGGGTTTAGGGTTCAGGGTCCAGAGCTTCAGGTGTTGAACCCTTCTCAACACCTGTGCTGCATGGTCTCAGGTTTGGGGGTGTTTGAGTCTCCTTTAATGAATGTCGGGTTTAGGGCTTTCAGATCCAAACCCGAAGTCCTAAACCCTTAACCCCACACCCTAAACCACCCCACACCCCCTAAACCCTAAACCCCAAACCCCCTAAACCCGTAAACCCCAAACACCCAAACCCTAAACCGTTCAGGTTTTCAAGTTGAAGCTCTGGCCCTTAAACGACCAGCTGGCTTTTGCCCAATCTCAGCTCCACTTCTTGCCTTGGTCCAACACTAGGAAGGAGGAAAGGCTCCTTCTTAGGGGCTTTCTGTGTAACAAAAAGAGGTTTTTTTTTAAAAAAAGAGGGTTTTTAAAAACCCACAAAAAAATGAATGACACAGGATCCCCATAACCCTGAACTCTAATTCCTATAAACCCTAACCAGACAAAATTACCAAGATCCCCTACATTGCCCAAGTCGCAGGGTCCAGTGATAGCCGCTGCCGACAGGCGCCGGCTGGCTACGGTAGGCGAAGTTGGCGGAGTAGCTCCTCAGTAGATAGATAAATAAATAAATAAATAAATAAATAAATATATATACATATATTTATCTTCTAAACGGTCCGCCGAGGCCTAGCGATGCACCGACACGTATCATCGGCGAAAACCTCTCACTCTGCACCCAAGTAGGTATCGGGTCTAGGGCTTAGGTTTTACGTCTCGACGTCTGTGGCCCGAACCGGATCAAAGGTGACAGTCTTTAGTGGCTTGTGTGTTCATGGGTGAGGTATGGTGAGGTGATGAAACATTGTAACATCACGCTTCTTTTCGAACTCCTCTTCATTCAGCGTCTTGGGACAATCGGCGTTTTTCTGGGATCAACATGTAGGGTTTCGCTTTGCAGATTGTGCCTTGTGGGGCTGAGTCTTGAAAGGGTGCCGTGAGTCTTCGCTGGGTTCTCTGCACTCCCGGCAGGGGAGGACATAGAGAGAAAGAGAGAGAGAGAGAGAGAGAGAGAGCGAGAGAGAGAGAGAGAGAGAGGGAGAGAGAGGAGAGAGAGAGCGAGAGAGAGAGATTGTGAGATTTCTACGCTAAGCCCTAAGACCCTAACCCCAAACCCACTGCAACCCTAATAAGCTCGTCGAGTCTCAGGAAGAGGCGAAGAGAGCCGTCTGAGCCCCGTGACTTCGCAAGGAACTTGCTGGGAATGTTCACGAAGTAGGCTTCAGGGCCAAACTCCTCAGCTCTGTCGAAGCTTGAGTCTCTCTGAAGTGTCGAAGTACGGGTCCCCTTTCTCAGTACCAAAGCGATGAAGTCTCGGTGTTGAGATCCTGTTCTTTGGGTACGGGCGGTTCATGAACTTAGAGCCAAAGCTTCTGCGTAAGCTTGGCAGGCTTACTGTACATGGAGAACCAGCTCCAGGCCGGAGGATGCAGTCAAAGCGGGAAACAAGGCAGACGAGTCTCCCGAAGGTAGCTGATGTAGCGGAATGGCCCCGTAATGCTCGGACTCTCCAGTAGGTACGTGTCGAACTGCTTCTTCGTGAACGGACTGAAGGTGGGCGTTGAAATGCACATGATGTACCTGCTGACAGAAACAAACGGCTTCATGGTGTTTCTTAATCTGGCACTGCCTTTGATCAGAACCTTTAGTGACCTGACTTTTGCTGTCTTTGCTGACACAATCAGCTCTGGCATGCTCCGGCGGAGGCCTAGAAGAGTCTTTGAATCAACGCGCGGGTATCGAGCAACACGGCTTACTGATCGTGCCGATACTCAATGCCTGTACCTGGAGACTAAACCGAAAGCCACCAACCCCACAACCCACAGTTTTGTGGAATTCGTTGTGCTGAAACGGTCTTCGTCGTGACATTCTCTTCATGACGAAAACTAGACCTAATGAGTGACACGCCAACAACCTGAACAGCGCCGCTTCCGAAATTACTCAGCATCCCTGTGTCTTAGAGACTTTCACTTAAGAAACAAAAAACGGGACACCAGAGAAGATGCATTTTATCGCAACGGTGCTCACTTTAATCCAAACCCAAAAGCCCTCAACTCCTGAAGTTCGCAACCAAAGAGCCAGACTTCATGGCTCGTATAACCCCTATCCGCCTCTTCACGGCTGGAATGTAGGTGATGGTGGTGACCCCAGTGCGATTGCCCCATGACACCAGGGGCTTAGCGCGAGAGACGTCTCCAGGAGACCAGCTGCCGTCCCCTAGGCTGGCAAGAGTTTGAGGTGGAATGCAGGAGATTGACAAGTAGCAGGGTGTAGGTTTCAGGTGCTGAAAACTTCTCCCATCTTCCACCTTTCTGAGGTTCATGATAAGAGCTTCAGCCCTAAACCCTACACCCTAGAGCCCAAACCCAAATCCGCAACCCTAGCCGTGACCCCTAAACCGTCACCCCCTCAACTCCCAGGACTTTAACTTCAACGCAGATCCATTTTCCCTGGGTACTCACCACAAGAATAACTAAACTATCGGATTAGAGTTCATAGGGTTTAGGGAAGACGATCGACAATTAGAGGATTTTGAACCGTGAGGGTTTACGGGGTAAGCTCGAGGCTTGTAGCAGCGGGCGTAAGTAGGCGAATCGACTCCCTCGCCTTTATAATCCTTTATAGGAATTATACTGACACTGGGGAGCCTAAGAATATAAAGGCCCTTTAAAGCAAGGGGAATCATTCGTCAGTTTGCTAGACCCAAACTCTAAACCCCAAACCCCACGGCTTCAAGGCCTCTGAGCCTCCAAGTGGCCAGCATAGAACTCCCACGCTGCAGCATCGTTGATGCGCTCCACGTCCGGGCTTCCCTTGGCAAGGACAGTAACAAACATGGGGACGCTGGAGCGTAATTTTGTAACATCAAACACTTAAAAAGTTCCCATCTACTCTTGATCCCTATTTCGCTTCTTTCAGCCCAGCTTCGAATGCCAGATAGACTTCAGAGCCTTGAAACCCAGAATCAACAACCCAACTCCCTAAATCGCCTCTGCCAACGAAGGTTCCTTAGAGTCCAGGTTCTCTTGGCCTAAACCCTAAATTAATCCCAAAACCCTATAAGCCCTAAATTAATCCCCACACCCCGAGAACACTTCAACCTGCTCGGCGAAATTCCCTTTGGCCAGGTAGACCGCAGAGCCTGAAACCCCTTGTACCCAAATAGTATATGCTTTGGCCTTGAAGTAGGCCTTATATAGGTACTTTGGGGCCAAAGTACATACGATTTGGGTACATGGACCCTTCTTTGCAAGGTAGAATCCATAGCAAACAACTCCAAAATCTCTAGAAACCCTGAACCCCAAAATCCCTAAACCCAAAGCCCAAAGCCCAAAACCCAAATCCCTAAACCCTAAACCGCAAAGCCCCAACCCTAAACCCAAAGCCCTAAAACCCTAAAGCGCCTCTTAGCTGAGGCTCTCTTGCCAGGTAGACCTCGGAGCCTTGCATCCAGGAGGTCGGAGACATCGGCGCAGAGGCCCCGTGGCCCACGAGATAGAGCCTGAAATTGGGGTTTAGGGTTTAGGGTTTCGGGTTTAGGGTTTGGGGTTTAAGGTTTAGGGTTTAGGGTTTAAGGTTTGGGGTTTAAGGTTTAGGGTCTAGGGTTTTAGGGTTAGGGTTTAGGGTTTTGGGGTCCCCGACCCTAGTGGTTTAGATAGGTACAAAGTGTACGGGATTGTTTTTTTTGCCTACTTGTCCAGTATCCTGGGGAACTAAAGGTTAACCTTCGGGAGGTATGTCTGGGTTCTATAGGGATTATCGTACCCCATGCAGGGTGTTCTCTGAGTCTGAAGTATTGGGTCACTATCAGGGTTTTAGGGTTTAGGGTTTAGGGTTTAGGTCATCGTAAGGATTGCTATTTCTTCGCGGGTTGAGGTTCGACATGATGTTTACTTGGTTGCTGGACCACTAGGCTTACTAGTTCATGCTAGGCATACTCTTTCCCCCATACTCTTTCCCCCGTACAGTGTTTGAGCAAGGAGATTTTTCAGAAAGCTTTTGCCTGGGGGACCCTGTCTAAACAGGAGATCCCAAAATACGAGAAAAGAAACCAAAGAGGGCAGAAGCATACTACAGGAGAACCTGGAAGAGCCCCTTCTTCGGTGCTAAGATGACAATATACATCACAAAGCCTACCCCCCCTTCAAAAAGAATGGTACAGACTTCTTGGGTCTTGACGGGGCCTTTATAAAGGAATCTACTTAGTCACTTCAAGAAAGCTTTACGGGCACTGACTGAGCTGAGCCGTTCGGATTTGTGACTACCATCCCCCAAAACCCTAAATTCCGTATAGACCGCTTGACAAGGCCTCAAAGAGGAACCTACTGTTGATGATATAAATCCTGCATTACCTTCTTAAGGACCCTAAACTATGGGAATTATAGTATATTCATTTTTATGGGTAATGATTCAACCGTAGCTTTGACCACCGGGCTGCCTTGGATCAGAGGCACCATTCGGCTGGTGCGCCAAGTTCTGGCCAAGGTCGGCCACGTGCCTTCGGGGAAGATTTCATCGCTGAGTTCATCCGTCTGTGGGCTCTTGCCAAGGGGTATTCTGGATACCATATCTTCTTGTTCAGGGAATTTGGGGTGTGTTGGAGAAGCTTTCTTGTATGGGGCAAGTTAGACTGAGCTGCTTCGAGATGACAAGGCTTACCCAAAACCCCACTTGCCAGGTTCCCTCAACGAGCCCTCACTCTGCGCTCTGCAGCCCCAGCGGCGGCGCGCCGAACTTCACCTGCCGGGCTCAAGCGATGCCGGCTTAACGGTTAGGGAACTGACGAGGTTGAAGAATTAGGATTTAAGGACTTGGCCGCAGCCTTAAGCCATACAGACAACCCAAAAGCCCGAAACTCCATTCGGGGTTGGCATGTTGCTCAAAGGCCCGGAAGAAACAAACCACCACAAACAACTACTCTTACATGCCCCTCAACTAGGGTTCCAAGTGATGACATCTGCAGTGCGTTAGCTTGTAAACCCGTATACTTCCATGTACCAAGAGCTTCTCAAGTACAGGCACAACCCTGACCATGGTCGGTACCCGAAAGGGCCCTACTTCAGAGTACCCGTGGAACTTCAATTACTGTACTCGTTGCATGGACCACCATGCTGTGATCGCAGTTATCTTAGTCTAGGCCCTTAAAGCGAAGGAAGCCCTACTTACAAACCCTCAACCCAAATGGAACCCCCCCCCCATACCTTTAAAGCTCAAATGCCTTAAACTCCCTTACCCCATGAAACTTCTACCCTAAACCCTAAACCCTACGTAATCCCTGAATCCTCATTCCCTAAACCGTAGACCGATCCGCGCCTTGCTGCGATTGTTCGGCGCTGCCTGTGGAGGGACTTTCGGGTTTACCGGCCGTCGGAAGCTTAGGGTTTGGGGCCTTAGGGTTTGGGCTTTGGGGTTTTAGGGTTTGGGGTTTGGGGCTTTAGGGTTTAGGGTTTGGGGCTTTAGGGTTTGGGGTTTGGGGCTTCAGGGTTTGGGGGTTGTGGCTTTAGGGTCGAGGGCCGAGGGTGTAGGATTCCTGGCTCTAGGGTGTAACGATTAGGATTCAAGGCTTTGGGGCTTAGGATTTGCGGCTGCAGGGTTCAGAATTTAAGTCTCAGGGTTCAGCATGCAGAGTGTAGTAGTGTCGGGTTTGGGTTTAGAGGGATGGGAGTAGAAATCGTTTATGCATCTTTGCCCAAAGCCGTTACCCTCAAGCATGTAGCGTCAAAACCCAGCTACACTCGGACCCTAAACCCTAAAACCCCAAACCCTAAAACCCTGAACCCCAAAACCCCAAAACCCCCAAAACCCCCAAACCCTAAATCCCTAAACCCCTAAACCCCAAAAACCGTGGTAGCTGCCAGCGGAAAAAACCCAAGCAGAGATTGATACTTGGAAGCCCGCGGGCTGCCTCAGCAGAGCCTTCCCTTAGCTCAGGGGCTGAGTACCATAGCCCACCAAAAAAAAGTAACCTTTTCCATTATGGTAGGATTATATATATATATATATATATGAGTTATTTATGTGCCCCAAAACCATAGCCTCAAACAAGGGTAACCTTTTCCGATTCCGGTATGGTAGAGTTATGCCCCAAAAGGTTAGAGGTTACCTACTCAGCTACTAAGTTATGGAGCCTCCTAGAATCCCTCTTCCCAGAGACTCCAGAACCCCTTAATTAAGGAATCTACCTTAAATTATACTAGGAACCCTGATATGATTTACGGTGTATCCCTGGGGTTTCGGAGTCTCTGGGTTCGAACCCAGTAGAACCCTTGCAAAAAAGTCTGTGAATGCCAAGCTGGGCCTCGCCGAAGAGGTTGTCCGAGAAGTTCGCCATCGTCTTCCGAGGCTCCTTTTCGGGCTTTCGGATTTCGGGGGTCTGGGTTTATAGAGATTTTAGACTCTGGGTTTCTAGGCTTCTGAGTCTGGGGCTTCGGGCTTAGGATTGTAGGGCTTTCGGATCTGGAGTTCAGGGCTCAATAACTCAGGGTTTACAGGTTTGGGGTGAAAGGTTTCAAGTTTCAGGGGTGGTAGGGCTTTGAAGCAGGGGGCCGTAGGGTTTAATGTTTAGGAAAATGGCTATGCAGGGATTCTGGGTCTGACACCATGAGAGAGGGTCCGTCAAGGGGCTACTCGCCTTCACAGGTTAAAAAGTAACTTGCGAGACACGTTGCAAAGTCTTGTCATGCTTCCTGTTTGTCTTCTGTCATACGAACATTCTTTACCCTTCCACCCCCAACCCCGGATTGCGGTTGATGCTTCAGGGCTTGGGTTTAGGATGGTTTAGGGTTTTGGGTGTGTTGTCAGTTAGTGTTTAGGGTGTAGTGTACCCACTCGGCAAAGAACGTGCTCCGTTTACTCTCGGGCGGCTACAGCAAGCGACGATGAAACCGCAACCCCAAAGCCGACGCCACACACCCTGAAACCCCAACTTCAACCGCGATTCCCGAAGCTTGAAACCTAAATCCCGTATAGATCCCTTAGTTTAGCAAAAAATCTTATTCTAAAGCCGACCTAGAACCCGTATAGACCCCTTTATCGAACACTAATAAGAACACCCTACTTCAAGTCTCGCACCAAGGCTCTTCCCACGTCTTGCCTCCATCCCGGCTCCAGCGGAAGCCGACGAAGGGCCCTTGGATACCTGGTGCTCATAGTTTTGGATTGGAGGTTTCGGATTTAGATTTGGAGCTGTGGAATTCGTGTGCCGGGTGTTCGGATTCTGAGCTGCGAAATGGGGGTTTTGGGGTTTGGGGTTGCCGGTGGAGGTCCATGGCATGTTTTCGACATGGACATCCCAGTCTAATCGGTAGAAAACGAAGCTGGAAAATATGTGGAGACCAGCAGTCGGCCATGCCGAAATTCATGAATCATGCTTCTTGAAGCCTGAGCTGAGCGCCAAGCCCTCAAGCCCCAGAGCTTGCTCATGAAGCCCTGTGCGTCGAAGTTAACTAACTCTGATTCCAAGATGCACCAGTTGCCACAGTAGCCCGCCGTTTGGAGCTTGCCAGCAGCCTGCATGTTCCCAGAAAGCTTCCACCTACTCGTTCGGGTCTCCGGGAGAACATCTCGAATTTAAGGGCGAAGAGCCTTTGGCCCCTCGGGTTTAAGGCTTCAAGCAGCTAACTAGGGTTTCGGGTGTAGAGACTTACTGGCTAGTTCCAGCAGTGGCGGCTCAAGAAATTACGGCAAAATGTAACAAGAGAAAAAACGATGACTTGGGCCAGGATTCCCCATACTTTGCCTTCAGGCGATGAGGCCCACTGCTTCGAACCTTCAATCTTTAATGCTTGCACACCCCTACCTCTGGACTGGACATCCGGACCCTAAACCCCAAACTGCAAAACTGAAAGCCGAAACGTCGAAATCCTACGCCCTAAATACTAAAACCCCGGACTAGATGCTAAAGGCCCTGAGCCGTAAATCCCACACCGAAATTCTGAAGCTCTACACCTAAACTTAGGGGCCTTGATAAGGTAGCCTGACAATAGGTACGAAGAAGAACCACTCATACAAAGACGCTAACCCTAAACCCTTTTTTTTTTTTCACTGCCGTGGGGCACCATCAGCATCCCGTGGGCGACGCCAAGAACTACGGACACGCTGAATAACCGAAGACCAAATCAGCCTGTTTTGCGACACCTCTAACAGCTTAGATTTGATTTCA